CAGGACACCTTTCGATTGGACCATGCTCCAGGGTCTGCACTTCCTAGAGTGAGAACGTCCAGGCCTGGGCATCCGAGGGCCAGACCACAGCCTAGCTCTGCCCAAACAGCCAAACCCTGAGCTCGTCTTGTCATCGCTCTCCTCTGGACCTCTTGGGTTTCTCATCTGAAAGTAGAGTCTGCTGACCACACTGGGCTCCTGTAAGAATCAGCCGTGGCCCCTCGTGAGCAAGCCCAGCCAGGGGTTCGTGCTGGCTGCTGCCTCTCCCTGGTGGGCAGCCCTGCCCTGGGCACACCCAGCAGCCTGAGGGGCCTGCTGATTTCAGGCGCCCTTCCTGCAGGCTGTGTGGTATAGCTGCCGCTGGGCCTCGGGTTTCTCCCATCCTAGCCCAGCCTGCCATAAGCCGCTCCCCCTCCAACCCACCTCCCCACCTCTGAGCCTGGGGGCCATGCAAGGCCCTTCCTGAAAGCTGACCCAAAGCACCTGCCTGTCAGACATGAGGTTCCTTCTCGGGATCCCAGCCCTGCACCCAGCCTGTCTCATGGGGAGCCCCTCCCATCTGCCAAGGGGGCCTCAGGCCTCCCCTGAACAAGGGGATACGACGAGTGTGTGCACACACCTGCCGCAGGGGTGTGTGGGTGAGCATGCATGCGCGTGTGTGCCCTGCTGTGCTCCCACACTGTGGCCCCCGCCTGCTCCCCAAGGGCCCTTCCTCCGGGAGGGGTGCTCCCATCCTGTCTCTCTGGAAAGGTCAAGGAGCGAGGCCAGCAGGTGGCGTGAGCTCCTGAAGATGCAGCATTCAGTGTACAGTGACCCCAAGAACCAAGACTCAGTGATGGCAAGTAGGGTGGCCATGGGGCATCGCTGGCTTCTGCTCTGACCACGCTGGCCGTTCCTGAAGTGAGGAAGCCATATCAGTTCCCCAAGGCTGCCATACACTCTGTGGTCTATGCCACAGAAATTTATTATTTTACATTCTGGAGGTCCTGCAGCCTGGGGTGGAATCAGAAGCCTCCTGATGAAGCCACAGGCTGTTTTATCTGTCAGGGAGCTCTGTTCACCCAAGAGGCCTGGGAGCAAGGGCCTGAGTGGACACAGTGGACACCCATAGCCTCCAGACTATGACCTTGCAATGCTGCCTCTTCTGAAAGAAACCAACTCCCCAGCGTGACGGCTGAGCCCCAAGAGGCAGGGCGGATACAGGCCCAGGGAACATCCCAGCCCATGCAAGGGTCGTTCCTCTTTATGGAAGATTCCAGCTGACAAACGGAGAAGGAATAGCAGAGCTGAGAATCACTGGTCTGGGACTCCCGGGAGCTAACAGACTTATGGGATGGGCCTCGGTGGCTGCTGACATCACAGAGACCACCAGAAGTAACTCCCTTCTGAGGGGGTCACACCACCACAGCGAACTGGCCTTGCTAGAGAAATCAAATGGAACTATCCCTTTACAGGAGAAGGGACAGAGGATCATGCTGAATGGCACGGCAGGGACACACCCAGCAAAGCCCAGAGGGGAGGGAGCCTGCAGGACAAACAACGGGTCTCAGCTGGACAGCTACCAGAGGACCCCAAGCAGACAGATGAGGAGCCCATTGGAGGAGCTGTGGGCGACGCGGCAGCCAGCAGCACTGTCTGAACATTATGGAGGTCCCGACTCAGGCAGACTTGGGAGCTCAAGAGACAGTCAGGGAAATGCGAGCAGTAGACAAATAAATACGCAGTGACTCACGGAATCTTCATGATCTTTAGGCGTGATATGGTTTTGTGTGAGTGTGCTTTTGAGACCCTGTGTATAAAAGATTCCTGCTGACATATTCACAGGTGAGATTTATGGGTCCTAGGATTGCTTTAAAGTATTTGGGGGGCAGCAGGACAGTCTGTGGGCTTGAGGACCGAAGCAGCAGGCTGGAGCTGGGGTTGATGGCTGTGGGGCTAGTGGGGTGAACGTCACCACCCTAGTCTCCCTTTCTTGGTGTATGTGCGAAATTTTCTGTGATTAGATGTGACAACTGAAACACTGATAGAAAAACAAACGGTGGCCCATCCAAACGGCAGAGTAGCAGTCCACATTGTGTGCCACCCCTGCATTCAGAAAGGAGTCCACTTACGTGAGACTTCTAGGAAAAGTGCAACCTCAGAAAAATGTCACCATTCTCACAGAGAGAACCCACTGGGCTGGGAGAAAAGGGTGGGTTGTTTGCAGCCACAGAGGGATTGCTCAAGGGACCTCTTTGGAAAGGGCAGGGCCTGGTGATGCCGTGGGGGACAAGCAGGCATCACTGATGTGGAAGGAGAGACCTCCCCTCATCCCAGAAGCTGAGGGGCAGGGCGGGTGCAGGAAGCTGGGGGAGAACCCCGGGTGTCCCTGGGGACACACGTGCCTGGCCAAGGCAGCTGGGAGCAGCAGGCCAGCCAGGCAGGCAGGGGCTCCAGCACCTGCACACCCCGCCCATGACCAGGCTTTCCACGCGGTGGGCTCACAGGTCTGGCAGTGCCGTGAGGTCTGCAGTGACGGGGTGGGGACAGGGCGAGTGGCCCTCAGAGATGTGGATGGTGGAATCCACCCTAGCCAATTTAAGTGCAAAGAGGTTTACTGAGGGCTCACAGGCGGCGAGGGGCACAGCAGGATCAGGCTTCAGGGTGAGCTTCCAGGAAGGCCAATTCCAGAGATGGCCCCAGGCTCCTGCTGTGGCCAGGAGCTGCAGAGGGTCCAGAACATTCCATGTCCACCATAGTCTGCACCGGCAGCCCTGCTTCCTCCGCAGGTAACCCAGTGCTGGGTGACAGCCCCTTGCAAAGGCATCTGCCAAGAACCGGCAGGAGGGAGACCAGGGAGCAAGGCGCTGGGCAAGCGGCAGGGCAGGGCCAGCGCCCATGGGGGTGCCAGGCGTGTTCAGGGCCCTGCCCATCTCTGCTGTCCAGAATCCTAGGAAGGTGGACTCCCATTCCTGCCTTGACTTGCTGATGCCCCACATGCTGCTGACCCTCTGGAAGGCACTGCCCAAGCCAGCCCGGCCCCACTCCAACCTGCCCCGACCAGTGGGCAGGCCACAGCACACCTCTGAGACCCCACTGTGAACGCAACCAGCTATGGGTCAGAGCCCGCAATGGGGGCTGTGCAACCCCTGCTTTTAACCCTTCTCAGCCCTGCTTCCTGCCTGGAAAGAACTTCCATTAAGAAAAATACATCCAGCTTTAACCCCGATCTCACGTCTAATTTAAAACTGTCACCCACCCTCACTGCAGGCTGGACTGGGGTCCCCCGGTTCCCTGGGTTTAGGGCTGACTCCTCTGCTCCAGGGTCCTTCCTCAGGGGAGCCATTTCCCGCATCCTTGGCTGTCAGCGCTCCCAGCCCAGCGCTGTAGCCCTATAGCCTGCAGCCACTCCGTGGAGGGGCCTGGTCAAGACTTCTGGAGTGGGGCTGGGGCCTCCCGTGTGCAGGGCCCCCTGCCCCGGGAGGCTGCCCCACCAGAGACAGCCCCCACATGTCAGGATAGCTCTGCTGGGGCCCGCAGTACACCGCTCACCCCCACCACTGAGTGCATCCATGATGAGGCCAGGGGCCAAGGGAGCAGAAAGTCTCTCTCCAGCCCTTCCAGAGCAAGGGGGGCAGGGCTCCAGGGGCCCCTGAAGGCCCATGAGCCCCTCAGCACCCCCTCCGCTGGTCTGAGACCTCCCTAGAAGACCCCCCACCACTCCCATGGGAAGAGGGGCCCAGCCCCACCCTGAGCTAGAGCAGCCTCCAGGCCTGTCCACTGGCTCCACCCCCTGCCCCATGAGGGGCCCAAGCGGGCTGCCCTAACCCCCAGCCCCATGAAGGGCTGCCTCCTGTGGAGAAAGGGGTTCAGCAGACGAGGTGAAGTAGGGCTGTGCAGCAAACTCTACCTGGATTGTCTACACTGGACCCCCTGAGGGGCATGCTTGATGCCCACCTCTGCATATTTAAGACAGGGTCAAATGCCCACTCACGCTAGGCCCATCAGTGCAGGGGGGTGGGCCCAGGCAGGGCATCTTAGCAGGTCCCTTAGTAGGACAGGAGGGGAGAGGAGAGGGAAGGGGACTGGAGGGGGGAAGGGAGGGCAGGGGCGGGGAGGGCTGTGCCCCAGGAGGGCGGGGTCTCCCAGGCACCAGGGTGGGGGCTGCCGTGAGCAGGCAGGAGCTTCAGGGTCCTGCAGTTGGGGCTGACGTGCCCAGGAGGACCAGTTGCCCCCTGACCCTGGGCTTGGGATAAGAGGGAGAGGGTCCTTCTGGTGTGCCCTGGGGTCTTGGCCCTGCTTCCTCTTCCCAGCAGGCCCACAGGAGCAGAAGGGCTGGGGAGGCCCAGGAAAGGGGCAGGGGGGGAGCCCCATCCCCATCTGGGTGGAATCCAGGCTCTGGGCTGACACTGCTCCAAGGGAAGTGCCCCCCAGGTGCTGAGGCCGGGCCATTCCCACAGGGCCCTGGGGTCCACCCCCTCATGGGGCCGGACTGCTCTCTGCCCAGGGCCATGTCCTTCAGGCAAACCCACTGGGTGGCGAGCTCTTTGTGAGAGACCCCTTCCCTGCTGCGTGCGCCCGGCATAGGTTGGGGGGAACCCAGACCACTAAGGAGCCTGTGTGCTGCTGGGCAGCCAGCAGCCACACTTGCCTGCTCCCATGGCCTGTGTCACACTTGTCCCCTGAGTGGACTGGTGCTATGACTAGCTGCTCAGTCTAGTTCTCACTGGAAAGGCGGGTGGGCTGTCAGTGTCCGGTGGACTGGCATCATTCAAGCATGGTGCCTCTGGAGGCAGCGGGGCAGGTGACACGCGGCATCTGAGCCCTGCCTCCTGCTCCCGTAGGCCTGGCCCGGGCGCTGGGCAGAGAAGGGCTCACTCTGGACTGTCAGCACAGAGCCCCTGTCCACGTGGTACCTGCCGCATGCTGGGCCAGGGCGCAGGTGTGAGGCGTTTGTAGGTGTTCGTAAGCCTTTGAAAAGATCTGCTTGATGAGGCTTCCAAAGCCCCTTACACTGTACGTTCGTTCACAAGCAGTTTATTCCTATTTGCTTCCCCCTAGAATATCTGAAGTAGTTTAAAATACAAACACTCATACAAAAAAAGACAGTAAAAAATAAAACTGGAAAGACAGATCAGAGTTATATAGGTGGAGGTAACATCTACCCTGAACGTGAAATAACAGGTAAGAAACTTGAGCGCTAAATGGGCTCGGAGATTCCTGGCAGCAAAGGTGGAGAGAGAGGGAGAGGAAGAGAGGGAGGGCCTGCTGCTGCAGAGGAGGAAGGCCCTGCCCACGGGCCTTGGAGGCCCAACACCAGGCCGGGTCCTTTGACAAGGAGCTGCCGTTGGGTCTGAAGGCAGAAAGGCACTGCAGGGTAGCAGCCCAGGATGCCGGGTCCCAGAGCCGGCACCGATGGCTCAGCAGGAGGCAGGGTGGGGCCACTTTGTCTGGCTGCCGACACTGCCCCTTTGATGATCTACTCTGGACCTTCCTTGGGTTTCTCTCCATGGTTTTGGGGGGCTTGGCGGGTGGGGTTCTTTTCCCTCTCACTGCACTGAAATTTTGGGATAACAGACATTCTGAGAATAAACCAAGTAGTTCTAAGGTTCTATTTGGGCTGCACCTTTCACTTACCTATCTAAAACACCCTGGTCTCCACCACCTTGCTCTGTAAAGAATTCTGTGGTCAAGTGTGTTCCGTAAATACCAGTAGGGAAACAGAGGCAAGTAAGTTCTGCAGTGTATGGATTATCTGTGCCTTCAACAGAAGGATCCGAGTTCCAGACGGCCGCGGGCAGGTCTCACACTCACGGGCACGAGTCCTTTCTCCTCCAGGCACGGGGGGAGGCGTGCGGAGTGGAAAGGACATCCTGACACAGAGCATCATATGGACAGCCTGGCTTAAGTGCCCCTGGGTCATTTCCTGACTGTGTCATCCTGGGCAAGTCATTCCATGTCTCGAAGTTTTGGTTTCCTTGTCTGTCAAATGAGTCTGATGGTAAAATTATCTGACTGAAAGGAAGTTGAAACAACTAAACACCATACAGGGAAGGAAGCGCTCTGTGAGAGTGAGGCACAGAAGTGCCTAGTGGCTGCGATCATCCACCGCGGCGGCGGACATCGAAGCATGAGCCAGTAACCGTCTTCTGCCAAGCGATGGAGATGGGCACTAGGGCATGGGGCTGATGGGGTCCTTGGACACAGGGGTGCTAGGCAGGGACTTGAGGTACTCCAGGTGCCTCCTGGCGTCCTCCTGGTTCTGGCGCACATAGTACACGACGTAGGTGATCACCATGGTGAACCAGCCGAACATGGTGACCAGCATGACCACATCCGTGGTCTTGCGGTGGGAGCTGCAGAAGCTGACGCCAGAGTCGAGAGCCTGGATCAGTGGCTTCCCCACGTACTCCTCCTGCACCGAGGTGTGGCAGGCGATCCCGTCCACAGAGTCGGGGTCCAGTTTCAGCTCCCACAGGGCCTCCTGCAGGGCACACTCGCAGTGCAGGGGGTTGTGTGACAGGCGGATCTTGGCGCTGAGCTTGCCCAGTGCGTCCTTCGGAATCCTCCGGATGTGATTGTGGGACAGGTCCAGCAGCCGCAGGCCCCCAGCCAGGCCGGAGAAGGCGGCGGGGCCGATGGACTCGATGGCGTTCTGAGACAAGTCCAGCTCTCTCAGCTGGCTCAGGTGCTGGAAGGCGCCATTGGGGATGCGGGCGATTTTGTTGGCATCAAGCTTCAGGAGCACGGCGTCCACAGGGATGTCCTTGGGGACCTCCTGCAGGCCCCTGGCACTGCAGTGGACAGCCACAGCCCCAGCGTGGTCAGGGCACTGACAGCTCTGGGGGCAGGAGGCACCCAGGCGCAGGCAGAGGAGGAGGAGGAGGAGCAGGAGGCACAGCCCTCCTATGGGGCCCGGCAGTGTCGAGGGGCTCTGTTTGTCCGTGGGGCCCATTCTGACTGCCCCTGGGGACAGTCGGCAGGCTCCTCTCCACTCCCCTGGCCACCGCTGCCCAAGTGACCATCGACACAAACTCTCGTGCCTCCGTGCCAGGAAAACGGTTCCGTTCTGAAAGACAGGAGCGGAGGGCACTGCCGCTGTGGCCCCTGGGAGCCGCACTCGGACTTCGGGGAGGTGCCACGGGCTAACTGAAGCATCTAGGCAGTGGGGGTTCTCTAACTTATTTCCAGACACTCCCCGTGCCACCCTGAAGAGCAAGGACGGGTTGTGCTGCCAGCTGAGCAGGTGGCCCAGAAACTGCCGCCCCGCCCTGGGCACACCCACTGCACACCGAGGGCCAGGGCCTGGGCAGCGCTCGCGGGGTGGCCCCCCGGGGCTGGAAGCGGACGCAGGCAGGGGCTGCGCCCGGCGCGGAGAGGCTCACGGCCCTAAACAATTCGGTCTCCGCTGCCAGCCCTGATGGGAATGGGCGCCCGCGCCCGCGCCGGGCTGCGCCTTGCATCTACGTGAGGTTTCTGAAAGAAGGGAACGGAGGAAGAAGCCTAGCGAGCCCCGGGCGCGCGGCCTGCGCTGGGAAGCCTGTGGCGGGGCGCGGGGTCCCGGGCCGGAGGGGCGTGGACGCGGGACCCCCGGGACCTGCGAGCGGGGAGGCACAGGGACCCGGGGCCATGCTTCCCGGCGGGGCGGGGGCTTACCTGCGCGGCCGCGGCCGGAGGCTGCTCTGCAGAGACCCTCAGCCGCGCGCAGCCCGACCCGCCGCCACGCCCGGGCGCGGAGGCCACCCCCGGGCCTGCGCCCACGTCCGCGGCCGCTCCGGACACAAGAGAGCGGGGCCCGGGCGGGGCCGGGACGAGCGTGTCGGGGGGCGGGGCCCGGGCGGGGCGGGGCCTGAGGGTGAAAGGCAGGGACTGGGCGCGGAGAGGGGCGTGCCTGGTGGGGAGGAACGGGATGGGCAGCCGGGTGGTGCCGGGAAGACGCGAGGCCGGGATGGGGTCGGAGGACTGGGGACAGGGAGGAGTGGGCTAGGGGGCCTAGGGTGTGCGAGGCCCAGCGACGCGGGGCCCGAGGGAGAGGGGCGTGTCCCGGGCGGGGACGGCGTGGAGCCTGAGGCCAAGGCCAGGGCGGCGGGCAGGCCGTGGGCGCGGAGCCCCGCCGCGCCCTCGGGCCCCCTGCCCCGCGCTGGTCATCCTGCCTTGCGCTCCCTGAGCGCCGAGGATGGAGACCCCCGGTCGCGCGGAGCCCCCCCTGTGCATCCCTCGCAGGCCCCGTTAACTGAAGCATCTAGGCAGTGGGGGTTCTCTAACTTATTTCCAGACACTCCCCGTGCCACCCTGAAGAGCAAGGACGGGTTGTGCTGCCAGCTGAGCAGGTGGCCCAGAAACTGCCGCCCCGCCCTGGGCACACCCACTGCACACCGAGGGCCAGGGCCTGGGCAGCGCTCGCGGGGTGGCCCCCCGGGGCTGGAAGCGGACGCAGGCAGGGGCTGCGCCCGGCGCGGAGAGGCTCACGGCCCTAAACAATTCGGTCTCCGCTGCCAGCCCTGATGGGAATGGGCGCCCGCGCCCGCGCCGGGCTGCGCCTTGCATCTACGTGAGGTTTCTGAAAGAAGGGAACGGAGGAAGAAGCCTAGCGAGCCCCGGGCGCGCGGCCTGCGCTGGGAAGCCTGTGGCGGGGCGCGGGGTCCCGGGCCGGAGGGGCGTGGACGCGGGACCCCCGGGACCTGCGAGCGGGGAGGCACAGGGACCCGGGGCCATGCTTCCCGGCGGGGCGGGGGCTTACCTGCGCGGCCGCGGCCGGAGGCTGCTCTGCAGAGACCCTCAGCCGCGCGCAGCCCGACCCGCCGCCACGCCCGGGCGCGGAGGCCACCCCCGGGCCTGCGCCCACGTCCGCGGCCGCTCCGGACACAAGAGAGCGGGGCCCGGGCGGGGCCGGGACGAGCGTGTCGGGGGGCGGGGCCCGGGCGGGGCGGGGCCTGAGGGTGAAAGGCAGGGACTGGGCGCGGAGAGGGGCGTGCCTGGTGGGGAGGAACGGGATGGGCAGCCGGGTGGTGCCGGGAAGACGCGAGGCCGGGATGGGGTCGGAGGACTGGGGACAGGGAGGAGTGGGCTAGGGGGCCTAGGGTGTGCGAGGCCCAGCGACGCGGGGCCCGAGGGAGAGGGGCGTGTCCCGGGCGGGGACGGCGTGGAGCCTGAGGCCAAGGCCAGGGCGGCGGGCAGGCCGTGGGCGCGGAGCCCCGCCGCGCCCTCGGGCCCCCTGCCCCGCGCTGGTCATCCTGCCTTGCGCTCCCTGAGCGCCGAGGATGGAGACCCCCGGTCGCGCGGAGCCCCCCCTGTGCATCCCTCGCAGGCCCCGCCCAGCGCCGCGAAGCCGGTTAGTAGGGTTGGTCCTCCGCCCAGCTGGGCCCCCTACTGCGGACAACCCTTACTCCGTCCCCTCCCCTTGTGTCTTCGGGTCCCTCGTGTGCACATTCCGGGCGGGGTAGGGGATGGGGGAGGGGCCGCTAAGCTTTAAGCTAGAGCCTTCTTAGGGTTTTTAAAGCTGCTTTATTGTGGTGTAATAATACACAAACGACTTATTTTAATTTTATACGTTTTGACATTTGTATACGTCCATGAACCCCTCACCACATTCACGCTGGTAAATGCCCGGAAGTTCCCCTTTCACTTATAGCCCCATCGCCAGGAAGCACTGATCATTGTGGATCAGTTTACATTTCCTATAAGTGGAACTTATATAATGGGTATGCACCTCGTCTAGCTTGTTTCATTCATCATGATTACCAAGTTCATTATCAATAGTTACTCCTGTTAGTGCTGAGTAGTAATCCAGTATAGGAGTGTTCCGCACGTCGTAACCACTCACCTGTTCATGGACACTTGGGTTGTTTCCGGTTGTTGATACAAACTTGATATGAACATGGTGTACAGTCCTGGAGCAAATATTCTTATTTCTCTAAGGTAAATATCTAGGAGTGGAATGTCTGGATCATATGATAGCTGTATGTTTAACTTTTAAGAAACTGCCAAACTGAAATTTTACGTTTCTGCTGACAATGCATTGCTTTACATCTTTATCAGCGTTTGTTAAGGTCCCTCTTTTTAATTTTAGACATTCTCAGAGACGTATAGTGGTAGATCTTACTGTGATTTTAATTCGTGCTTCCTGGTGACAAATGATGTTGAGTAACTTTTCTTCTGTTTCTATGTAATTTGTCTGTCTGTAGGGAGATGTTCTGCTCAAATCTTTTACCTACTTTCAGTTGAGTTGTTTTTGACTGAGTTTTGAGAGTTCTTGAATATTATTGATGTGAATCCCATATCTGATATGTGATTTGTATATATTTTCTTTAAGTCTGTGAATTATCTTTTCATTCTCTTAAATTGTGTCCGAAGAGCAGAAATTTTTAATTATGATTAAGTCCAATTTGTCAATTAAAAAAAAATTTTATAGGTAATGCTTTTGGTGTCATATGGAAGAAATCTTTGTCTAACACAAAGTCAGAAGGATTTTATAGGCTAGATTTTGCATTTGGGTCTATTTTCCAGTTTAAGTTAATATTGGAATGTAGTGTGAGGCATGATTCAAGTTTGGTTGTTTGCATGTGAATATCCAGTTTCCAGGACTGTTGTAAATATCTTTTATCTGCTGAACTCAACAGAGGTGCCTTTGCAGCTCTGCTGAAAATCAGTGGTCCGCGGCGGTGGCGGCGTAAGCATGGAGGGTGAGAGCATGTCAGCGGTGTGCTGTCCGGCATAGAGCTCGGTGCACTCGCCTTCCAGCACCTCAACACTGATTCGGATTCGGAAAGTTTTCTCTTTGGGGAAGTGAAAGACGAAGCCAAGAATAGCATTACTGATTCCCAAAAGGATGATGTTGAAGTTATTTATACAACTGCTTTTACAATTCTTCTGGTGAAACGAATAAGGAAGCAGCAAAGAAAATATTGTCAAGGGTCAAAAAAGATGTGGTTGGTTGGTACAAATTCCAGCGTCATTCAAACCAGGTCATGACATCTAGAGAGAGACTGCTTCACAAAAACTTCCAACAGTATCTTTCAAGCCGGGAACTTGTCTTTCTGCTGTTAACACCAAGTATAATAACAGAAAGCTGCTCTATTCTTCGGCTGGAGCATGCCTTACATAAACCTCAGAAAGGACTTTTCTACAGGATACCGTTAATGGTGGCCAATCTGGGCATGTCCGAACAACTGGGTTATAAAACTGTATCAGATTCCTGTATGTCTGTTGGTTTTAGCCAAGCACTGAAAACACACAGCCCTGAATTTTTTGGATCTTTAAAGGAGGTACATAAGGTAAATGAAATGTATGCTTCTTTAAAAGAGGAATTAAAGGATATATACAAAAAAGTAGAACACAGTGAGCGAGCAATAGAGATGTAAACAGACTGAAACAAGAAATTAAAAACAGAAAACACACACAGATTCAAGCATCACAAGAGAAGACTGTTGTCCAAAAAGATCCTCAGGAGAACATTTTTCTTTGTCAAACTTTACAAACTTTTCTTCCAGATTGTGACTTTCTTCATTCATGTGTTATCTCCTAGATAAATAGGCATATTTCTAAAAGTAGCTGTAATACCAACCATCACCTCAATGCGGTAGACAACCTGACCTTAGTGGTGGAATACAGGGACAGTCCTGAACCTAGTCCAGCTAGCAGTGTGCTGCAAAAGACTAAGCATGAAGCTTTAGATGCAGATGATGGATGGCAAGTTAAGAAGTCACGGCTGTTAGAGAAACAAAACAAACCATCTAAAACAGATACTGTTAGTAGTAACCAAGAAAAAACATCCACAGCAAGGAGCCCAGAAACAGATGAAGAGATAGAAAAAAAATGAAAGGTTCTGCTGCATTTATTTTATAAAGTACTTTAAAAAATACCAGATGCTCTTAGTCTAAAACTAAAACTTTTTGTACTTTTACTAAACTGTTGAGGGAAAAGTTTAAATATTCTTTTAAACCAGTACAGCACTCTTTACAACTGGAAGAACCAACCCTATCTTCACAATATAAGTCTAAAGTTAGTATGAAAATTTAATTTTTTATCTAACTCATTAACATTCCTTCTCCTTAAGTTATGAAAAACAGTACATTTATGGCTAGGGTTATCAGATAAAATGCTGGGCACCATACAATGTTATTACTTATATTTAAAAATTACCCATTGTTTAGTTGGAAAAAAAAATCAGTGGTCCCTGTATGTATGTGCCTTTCTATTTTCCTATTTTTATGAAAATATTCCAAGCTGTCTTCATTGCTGTAGCTCTATAATAATTCTTAAAATCAGGTAGTATAAATCTTCCAACTCTGTTCTTTCACAAAGTTAATTTGGTCATCTTAGATCCTTTGCATTTCCTCGTGGATTTTAGAACCAGCTTACCAGCTTCTACCAAAAAAGCCCCGTGGGTTTTGTTGGGAATTGCACTGAATCTATAGATCAGTTCGAGACAAGTACCATCTTGACAATATTGAGTCTTCCATTCCATGAACATGGTATACCTCCTAATTTATTTAGAATTTCTTTTATTTTTCTCATCTGCATTGTGTAGTTTTTGGCTTAAAGATCTTGCACATCTTTCATCACATTTATCTCTGATAATTTTATGTTACTTTTTTTTTCAATTTCTGTTTGGTAAATGCTAATATATAGAAGTACAATTGATTTTTGTATACTGACCTTAACTTTGCTAACCTCCTTATTAGTTCTGGTAATACCTTAGGATTTTCTACATACATAATCATTTTATCTGTAAATAAAAAGACTTCATTTTTGTACCTAATGGCACTAGCTAGAGCCTCTAGTTCAA